CAGTTCAGCTTCACACCTGTGTGCACTTTTATATTCCTTCCATAAGATGCACAATTAAACAGCGCCTCTGGGCATAGGCTCATTTCTGATGCCAAATGTGAGTCCTCTGTGGTGCAGGCTTGAGGACATCAGCTCCTGGGGGCCAATAAACCGCCCTCAAGAAGTGACAGAGGGACCTGGGGATTTAGCTCAGCGGCACAGCGCCTGCCTGGCAAGCTCAAGGTCGTGAGTTCAATTCCCGGTACTGGAAAAAAAAACAAAACAAACAAACAAACAAACAAAAAAGAAGTGACAGAGGAGCGGAGCGGGAATTCTGCAAACTGCCCTGGACTTTGCAGTGCTTGCGGTTTCCTGTTCCGGGCCTTTGCATGCAGGCTCCTGCGCTCTCCACCCAGGGACTGCATGGATGCCACACTTAGCTACCATCTCTCCCTGGAGGCCACTAGCTTGTTCTTTATCCTAGCATACTTGTGCGACCCTTCTTGCCTCTGCCCCTGGGCACTGAATGATGGGAGGGACATCCCCAAAGCCAGGATCTGTGCCTGCTGTCCTCTGGTTACCTGGTAAGGACCACCTGGGTGACTCTCCTTGAACGAGGAGCCGTTGTCTCCATTTTGGCTGAACCTGGCCCTATTTCCATGTATTGATGTGTGCAGAGCTGGCTAGGACTTTTCCTTATCTCTTCGATTGGCTTTAAGCAATGAAAACTGAGGTGCTCCTGTATAGCCTTTGAAGCAAAGATGACAGAGCAGTGTTTCCCCAACCCTGCTAGCTCCCAAATAACCATATGTGAGCCTGGAGGCTATGACTTCCCAGGACATAAAAGATTACACATCAGAGCTGAAGGGCTGACCCCAAAGCATTAGATTCTATCTCTATTGTGTTATGCAGATTACTCTTTCTGCATATCTTTCTCTCTGCATATTTTTATTTTTATTTTTTTTTTTGGTTTTTCTCCGGTACCGGGAACGAACTCACGACCTTGCGCTTGCCAGGCAGGCGCTTTTTGCCGCTGAGCTAAATCCCCAGCCCCCCTCTCTCTGCATATTGCAGAGGTGATTTCAGGCCTCCTACGTAACCCAGCTTATAGCACTCACTTCCCCCATTCTCACTTCCACGCATTTCAAGCCACTCCCTTCTTCACAAATTAATAAAATCTAGCTTCAGCCCTGGGTCAAGGCCTTTGTTCCAGTTAGCCCTCATTGTAGTTGGCCGACCCCTTTGGTTCTCCATAATTACATATATGCCTTACTGTCTTTGTTCTTAACATGGTTTGCACTGGAAGTGGTCGATTGGAATTAACTCTCTACAATTCCAATAACTTTTCCATGGGATTACAAATATAAACTTCCTGGGCCTTGACAAGGAACAGGAAGAGCTCTCAATAGTTACTGACCCTTACACTGAGTTTGGCCAATGCTAATGGGATGGACACTGGGTCTGGATGGAAGCATAAGGTTATTCCCAGGAGCTGTGACCCAAGGGGTGGGTCCATACTCCCCAGCCTCATGCCAGTCCAGAAGGGTTCAGTCTTGACATGGCTCAGAGATCCTAGGTGGGCTCCTGCAATGGAAACTTACTTTTCATCAATGGTTGGGAGGATACTATTAAAGTGTTCCTGGGTCAGGCCTTCCTCCAGCTCCTGCATCTTCCCTGGGTCGGGCAGGATGAAGAAGGCCATGGCGTCACCCACAGCATGCTGGACCAGCACCCAGCTGGACAGCTCCTCATCCCGGGTCAGGAGAAATATACCCAGGCGAATGATCATGGGCACCCTGACGGTTGTCACCTCGTCTACGTGGAAGTCCTCTTCCGCAATGTATTCAGCTGGGAATTGAACAGTCCACTTTCCTGGAGAGAGACATCAGGCAGGGGTGGGACTAAGGGTGAAGAAAGTGTGTCAGAGGAAGGGAGCCTGAGTCCCTCCTGAGTCACTGCCCTCTGAAACTCACCTTGGTTATCTGTAAAATGGGATTAAAAGACAAGCATTTGCTAAAGGGCTTTTTTGGAAATAATCTGAAGCAGAAGGAGGGCCTGGAACTTGGATATGCTCAGGCTGATTTGTGACAAGCTAGCTTCAAAAAAGAAGCATCTTTATCTACATTTTGTATTTACTTGCCCAAGGACCAAGGATGCTAATGAAATGACTGGGCATAAATAGAAGTCCCTAAGTCATAGCTGGGTACTCATTCCTGGAGGCGCCCTGCCCTTGACAGATGGGTGGTTCAGCTCACGCTCAGGACAAACACCCTGAGGCCTTCTCCTGGGCAGCATGTGAAGTGGGCAGGCCCGGGCCACCTCCCTTCTCCAGTACTAGCGTGTCTGCTTTCAGGCCAACAGCGTGGGCAGGTGACTCTAGGACCCTGAGCCCACCTTTCTCATCGGACAGGAAGAGGTGATGAGACTGGAGAGGGGACAGGAATTGCCCCAAGTCACAGAAGAGCTGGGACCTCAGTTATGCTGACTATGGCCTGGGTGCTCTGCACCATTGCACTCTGCCCAAGGATGGGGGAGGTAGGGAGGGGCAATAGGCCTGGGCTTGACCTCCACTTCCCTCCCCCACCCTATTTCCTGGGGGCTGTGGATGCTGCCTTAGACCCTGGGGCCCTGTGGGTCCTGGCCCTCCCATTGCTCAGAGGCAGGAGGGGAGGCTGAGGATCAAGGCTTGGTGCTCGGTTCTGTGTGCCCCTATATACTATAAAACTTGATTAATTCTTTCAACACTTGATAACAAAGGCATGGACTTGCACCCAGACCCATGTATTATGTAACTTGATTAACCTTTCAGAACATGACTACAATAGTATTTATTTTGTCCATGATAAGAAAAGGAGTGCTGCCTCCGAGAAGTAAAATGACTTGCTCAATATCAAGACTAATGAGTGGTGGAGGCAGGATTCGAACCTGAGTCTTTCACATTCTAAAGCTGACACTCTTCCATGACTGTAGAGTTGTCTAAATTATGATCCATGGAACAGCAGAGCTGTCTTCACCATCTGTTCCAATTTGTATCTCTGGTTCTCTAGTTAGAGAAACATTCCATTTCCAATGTCTCTCTCTTATTGGCATTTCCATTGAGTATTAGGACAATAAAGGTGCTCACGAGTCCTACGGTCTTGTTGGTTCATGGAACTGTTTCATTATTTCTGAGTTCAATATTACAGAGCCCGAGCTGGGATGCCCTCAGGGGACACTGAACTGTCAAGGGAAGTATAAGCAGTGGGGGTTGGAGCGCATGTGGATTATTTCACAGAAGCCACCTAAGGCTGGGAATCCTTACTTACCATGAAAGGAAATATAATTCACCAGGATGAGGTCGGTGTCTTTCTTCAGATCTTTGACCAAATCCACTATTTCTCCATAGGTTTCCTTCTCTACATAATCATTGATCTGTTTTCTAGCGAATCGGGTTTCCCTAAAGCTGATGGAGATAACATCTGAGTTGTACAGCTCCTTGACATTTTGCACAAACTGATGCATGAGTGTTAGGCTATCTCTGACAAAGAGGCTGCTGCCCATGGTCAGCTGGAGCTGGTGGTCAGGATGCTGGAAGATGTGGAGGAGAAGCTGGAAGCACTGGTGGATGTGAATCTCGGAAGCCACTCTCAGGTTGAAATTCAGGCTCTCCAGGATCTGTAAGAGAGTTTCCCCTTCGGTCCCCAGAGACAGCATGGTAAAAGCAGTCACGATGCTAATTGGCGACAGTAAAGTGTTGGTGGTTTTTGACCAACTGGCCTGCCCCCGGTAAAAGGCAAGGGCCAAGTCAAAAACGTTGTAGAAAATATTGTGGCAGATTACATATTCATGATGCTCATGGTCATGTAAAGCTCCATCCACATATTCAAAATTTGCAGCCTGGGGGCCAGGAACAAGGGAGCAGAAGCCAGCCAAGAAGAGGAGGACCCTCGAGATAGAGGATGACATTGTCCTGCAAGACAGAGAAGGGAAGGCCAAACCCTGAGTCAGGGCCCCTGACCATGTCCCCTGCCTAAAGGTGGGCATCATGTAAAAGCAACCTCAGTTCCTTAACCATCTTAATGTGCCCAGCCTGCACCTTGCACTGTCCACACCATCATCTGCCTTGATAAATATGGTTTGTTCTTTCTGACACTCACTTGGAGTCCAATCCCAGTGTGCAGAGATAGGAAAGTGGAAAGCTAATCTGACGATGGTGTTTATAGGTGGGACATCAGTGAGTGCTGCGTGGTTGTGGGTGTATCACAGTGGTGCAGCACACACTTAATCTTGCAAGGTTCTGATTCCATTCCCAGCACCTAAACAAACAAACCAGCAAACAAAGTGCAGATGGGACTGCACAAACAAAGACTGGAGGAAATAATAGAGCAAATGTAGCTGTCAAAATGTATACCCAGCTGTGACTTTAAATGACAGTTCTTGGGGGGAACTGTGGTGGGAATTGCTAACTCTCAGGCTTCAAGACCAGTGAGGGGAAGACAGATGGGTCTGAAGACCATGAACCTAGATATGAGAAAAGGTGGAGGGGACATCTGGAGCAGGAAGTTATCTGAGGAGCTAATGAACCCACGTCCCTCTTAAAGCCAGCAGGAAATCCAGGGCAGAGAGTCTCTGGAGCAGGAGGGGAGAGCCACACCAGAGAGGACCATAAGAAATTATTTTGAAAACTTATATTCTAACAAATTAGAGAATCCAGAAGTAATGATATGTAATATTCAACATAAAATCACAGCAATTATGAGAAAACAATGCAACAAGATGCCTCCAAAAATTTGTAACCACCCCCCCCAAAGCAGATCTCACAGACACTGAAGTGGATGAGTTGCCAGACAAAGAACTTGAGAAACGAATAGTTAAAATGACTGAGGAGATCAAAGAAGGAATAGATACACAGCACAAGGACCCAACTGCTAAGACGATCAACGAACTGAAAGGAGATGTAAGTAGCAGCTGAAAGCACAGCTCTCTAAGGTTATCAAGGTCTTAAAGAAGGTACTAATAAGCAACTGAATGAATTAAGGAAGACAATGCAGCCATAAAAGAGCACTTCGGTAAAGAATTAGAGGTGATGAGAAGGAATTCATCAGAAATCCTGCGAAAATCTAGAGTGCTTTGGCAATAGGCAAGTGTGGTGGATTGACAACTGGCAGTCAACCTGGAACACCCAGGGGAACTGAACCAGCGTGGTGCTGGGTGTTGTAGGCCCACCTGAGGGTTGTTGCTGGCAGCATAAGAAGCAGACCTGCAGAGGAAGAAAAGCTGTAGGGAGCTGTTGGTTTTCCTGGAGGAGCTTGTCACGCTGGCTTTCCTGATGAACTCAACTGTTCTCATCATCAAAGGAGCTCAGAACCTTGTTGTCACTGAGAATGGCTACGGCTCACCTTAAGGGAGCTCTGGTCCTTATTTTAAGCATCGCTTCCTGGCTCCAGAAGGGAGAAGGTGCATTGTTCAGTGTCCTGGAGAAGCTTGTCACACTGGTCATCCTGATTTAGACTTGGCTGTTCTTATCATCGGAGGAGCTCAGGTCCTCATTGTCGCTGAGGATGACTGTGGTACTTTTTGGGGGATCTCTGATCTTTACTCTGAGTGTCATTTCCTGGCTCCACTGCAGGTCCCTCAGCCTGCTAGCACAGATTCTTCATCCTTTTGTGTCCACTGCTGGCCTTTGGGCCTTCCCAGTGCAGGTCTGTGAAACAGGTCTGCATGAGACATTGTCATGGGCTCTAGGCCTCCAGTTGCACTCATAGGAGGCATTGTTATGGGCTCTAGCTTTTCATTTGGACTAATGCAGGACATTGCTGTGGGACACAGGCCCTCAGCTGGGTTCTTTTGGTCTTTAGTGTGTGGACAGATTTCCTGCACTCTCTTTGTATATGACTCTTCGGGTGATTGCTATAAAATAATTCCACAACCTATGTGTCCTATATTGTTCCCCTTGCAATCCCTGACTACAACAGCAAAATCAGTCAGAAGACAGGATATTAGAACTTGAGGGTAATCTTGATGAAGTAACATTTACTCAGTAACACTGAAAAAAATAGCAGGAAGCAATAAAAAATGCAAGGGCTCCTAGATGACTTTTGAAAGAACAAACTTAAGAATCATGGCTTTTGAAGGAAGGGTAGAGGCAGAGATTGATGGTAAAAGAAAATTATTCATTGCAGTTATGATAGAAGATCTTTCAACTCTACAGAAAGAGACAGATATCCAGGTAAATGAGATGTTTAGAACCTCAAATAGGCATGACCAGAAAAAGAATCCATTCTTGACACAGGGGCAAAATTCTAACAATTCAGAATAAAGAGAGAACACTAAAAGCTATTAGTGAAAATGCCAAATTATAAAAAAAGGCAAACTCCTTGGAGCAACAGCAAATTTTTTAAATATAATCAAACACCAGGAAAGCTTGTAGAAAAGTTTTTCAGGCACTTAAAGAAAATAACTGCCAACCCAGATAACTACATCTTACAAAATCATCCTTCAAAATTAATAAAAAAATAAAAACATTCCATGATAAAGATACACTAGAGTAATTCATGACCAGGGAAG